ATTTGTTGTACTACCGGTTACATTACGTTCATGTTACTCTGTAAAAAGCTGAAACACACTGTCTCATAATCACTATTTTACAATATAAACAACCCCACACACCAACACAAATCCCTAACGAGGACACACATCTCTAAGATCTTTCTCTTAACAGAATACAAAGCTGACCGCACAAAGCAAAGATGAAAACCAGCACAAAAAAGCGATCGCTGCAGTGATTCTGCTTTAGAAACACGAACAGGTAGAAAGGGAGGCTGCAGCCTGACTGCTCATCTGCTTGTTACCTGTTGAAGTTCAGGGTCTGTCTGCATTCACTCAGCTTTCACCCTGGGTTCTTGGCTAGCTTAGCGTTAGCATGCTGTCTTGGCAGATGCTTGCAAAGAAAGTTGTGTTAGCAGCATAATGCGGCTGTTCCTGCCCTGGATGCAGTTTTAAGCTTTATCATTTATCTCGTCCTTTTGAGCAATAAAAATAAATGCGCATATCCAAGCTCTAGACTGCATCGCTATTTTCCTCTTCTGAAATCAGCTGATTGTAGCACAAGTGCAAGAATGGATAACTGGGATCGACAGGCAGGGAGACTAACAGTTGCAATTGGAATTGGACTACTGGGAACTGGTTCTTGATTCCCATGCCTACCCACAACAGGCTGTAGGGGTGCAATCAGTATAGCATTACCTACATCATGTGTAGAAATGCCTCATGTTGGAGTACCCTCTTAATGTAAATGATTGTGGTTTTTTTAATCCTTGAAAAACCATTTTTTATACATGTATATATTCAATTTACGGTATATGGATGGAGCGCATGTACAGCGCTTTATTGGAAAAAGGTTTGTATACCACAAGCCTGAGAAAGAACTCATCAAAGGTTTAGTTTACTCCTCTGTTTGTAAGACCTTGCTTTATTAGGCTGAGTTGATCGTGCAGTTTTTAAGATGTTAAAATACAGTGAGTCTGTAAAGTGCTTCGACTCAGTGAGTCTCTTTGGAATCAAGAATACGTCTGATATCAAATGAGACAGGAGTGTACACACAGCTCTTAATTAATGAAATCAAAAGTGATGAGTGTGTGGCATGTGTTTGTGCGAGCATGTATAGTTCTGCAGGGGTGACGGCACAACATGAAAGAACGTTGCCAGCTGTGAGAATCAAGCTGATACAAGATTGACAATTTAGGACAAGAGATAAGGAGCATGAAAAATCATCTTCCTGGCATTATGCACCATTTTTTTTCTTAAAAAGCAACCTGTTTTCCTCAGCCTACACTAGTGCCGGTTACCAAGCACTGAATACAGGGAATATAACTGGTTGCCATGGTGATGAGAGCCATATACCTACAAGTGAGGAGAGCGCTGATGCAGTGGGCAGGCTGTCGTGATGAGGTGTTGGGGCCTTAGCTCATACTGTTTGGAAAACAGAAATTTTGACCATCACTTCATATTCTCCTTAAACAAACAGTGATCCGTGTGATGTAAGAGATTGCAAAATACCACTCGGATTAATAAATCGTCCAGAAAAAAAGTGATGGAAGTATTTTCTGGGGGGGAAGAAAATGGAAAAAAAGCTTGAAATGGAGGGTGATATCCTGTCACAAAGCTGTAAAGTCACTTTGCGAAGTGAGGATAGTTATCACATTGTCTTTTTGGAAAGTTACAGAGATGTTGGACACAGAGCAGAATCAGTTTACAGCTTGCTTTTCACGTAAAGCATACTGTGGCCCCGGGGATCCCTCAGCAGGCGTCTGAGGAAGTTGTTTTTGTGTCTGTTTGTTTCTTTTTCTCAACATTTCAGTACTATTATTCATTTTAGCGTGTTACTGTGCAGAGCTCAGACTGATAACCTGAGAGTGCAGTCAGTCTCACTGAGTTAAGTTAACAGCAGTGAGATTAGGGTTGTGGTTGATTGTGCTGGGGTACTAAAATATCAAACATTATTAGGTGTTTTCTTTTCAGTTTTCTTCTTATATGGAAGCCCTTCATGGATAAATTCTGACTAAAATAAAAAGAGTTCAGACTACACTTTCAAATTTGTGAGGGTTTTCTGCTGCTCGTGTGTATTATACGGCTCTGTGTTCCCACTGGTGCCTCCCAGCAGGGTATTTACACCAGCTAAATCCTGCATTTCATCTTGAATAGCATCTGTCTCCCACGCTCTGTCACATGACTGCAGTGTTTATCACTTTTGTGCAAAAAAATCATGCAGTGTTGGATCAACAAAGAGAGATTGGGGATAGATTCATTTACAAAGAGAAGAACTCTGTGCCAAAGCCAGGAAGACCTGCAAACATATAGAAAGAGACAGTTTCACTGAAGATACAAGAGTAAATAAGACCCACAGAAAAGCACACGGTTCCTTTTTTCTGCTGTATCAACAAAAAAACGTTAGAAGTCATGAAATTTAAGAAAGTACCAAGAAAGAGCGCATGTACTGTGTCTGCATATATACATAATAGAATACTGCATACAAAAAATGTTAGACTTTAAAAAACCCTGCCCAACAATGGTTTGAATTTAGTTTTGCTCCTAATAGGTCCGTCTGTGGAACAGTCCCAAACTAAGCCATGAGATGAGCGAAGATTTTGCCCAGGACTGAGTCCTGTTGACTTTCATTGTTATCAGTTGCAAACTCATGCAAGTTTCAAGAGCCTAACATTTTTCTTACTGAGTGGAAATAACTAAAACAACATTTAAGACAAATTCGATTAAAATTTCTTAGTATAGCACAAAATCACAACAATGGTTGCCTGCTTTATATTGTAATATATTATTATAATAGAGAGAAAACTAATAAAGTAATGAAGAGAAAACCCACCAATCACACAATTGCCTACAGCATAAGCAAGCACTCGGCAACAGTGGGAAGGAGAAACTTCCTTTTAACAGGAAGAAATCTGAGGCAGGACCAGGCTCAGGGAGGGGCGGGGCCATCTGCTGCGACCGGTTGGAGAGAGGTGAGGAAAGAGGTGCGTCAAGGAGAAGTGCTCAGTGCATCATGGGAAATCCCCAACAGCCTATCGCTATTGCAGCATAACTAAGGGAGGATTAAGGGTCACCTGATCCAGCTCTAACTGCAAAACTAAAAAAAAGGAAGAAAAAAAGATTTAAACCTAATCTTACAAGTAGAGAGAGTTTCTGTCTCCTGAATCCAACCTGGAAGCTGGTTCAATAGGAGAGGAACATGAAAGCTGAACACTCTGCTTTTAAATATCCTAGGAACCAGAAATAACCCTGCACTCTGAAATGCTCCATTAGGCTGATATGGTACAATGCGGTCCAAGTAAGCGCACCACCCAAATAAAACTAAAAACGCAAGGTTTGAAACATCAGAACACAATTCAGAGTCAGAATTTTTACCTCTAATAAGGTGAAAATTGCAAACTACCTTAGAAACAATACATTTATGGATCCTTATGTATTTGTCTTGTGAAGTGAGCAAGTAGGAACAATTTAATGTCATTAATTTGCTTCTTTTTCCTGTTTTTTTCCTTTGAGTTGATCAATTCTTAAAAAAAATCCGCATAGAAAAGAAAACAGATTTATTTATTTACTTTTTTGTTTGTTTGTTTGTTTGCTTTTTTCTTTACAAGTAAACACAGATTTGAAGATCTCAGTCTTTAGGGGTTTGAGGGTGTTAACAGTGGCTTCCTTCATTGCATCAGCTCATCTAAGTTTTGAATGTCATGTCTTGTCTCAGAGTTTTTTTCTGTGCAGGTGTGTGAGCCACAATTATGTTCCATCTCAAGAAAAGACCGCTGCTGTGATTCAGCAATTCACAAGCTGTATTTGTTTAGCACACTGAAAGCTTTCTTTTTCATTTCTTTAGGCCAAATCATCGTTCTGCTAAAGAATTACTGGAATTGGAGAAACATTTCTAACCCATAATCATGATTATTGTCACTATCAAATGGGAGATGTACCTATGGATCCAATGACTTGTCACTATAATGGAAACTGCCTTGCTTTAATGGAGCCAAAGTGGTCATGGTGGAGGCAAATGTTTACTTCAACATGGTGCCAAACCAGCTCAGTGATGTTTTTCTTCCTGGCCCACAGCAGTACATTCTGACAATGTGGGGACTCTTCGGATCACCATGTCTGATGCTGTGTGCTTCGACATAGACCAGTTTTAATCTGCGTCGGCTGAGCACCAATGCTCCCTGGATGCACAATGATGCTAGTTTTTATTAGACTGACAAACAGGCTGATGTACCCTGTAAGCAGATGAGGTGGTTAAAATTAGATTTGTTATGCAGTGACTAATTACTGTTTAACAGACATCTGCAAATGACTGTGGCCGATCATTGTTTCTACATTCTTTTCTCCTTTTAACGGTCTTTTCATAAATGTTTATTTTCCTCTACTATGTGATGAGTTTTGAACGTGTGCCTGGGACTGCTATAAATGATGCAGTGATCTCTAACAAGGACATCTTCTTCAGGTTCTAGTCAAACAATGTTAAGGTTGTTTGAGAAAGCGTGCAGTATTTGCTCTAACCAAATATGCTACACTGGAATGAGGACAATCTTAATGGATACTAAAAATATAGTTACGTTACCTGGATTAAGTGCTTATGATTAAGATATCAAATCCTTGCAATATTGTGCACAAGTATTAATTCAACCCTCATTTGTTCATTGTTTTGCTTCTAAGGAAACAGAGCTTCTTGCGAGTGTTTGTCTTTGTTGTCTACAGTATGTTCAACATGTTTTAGTAAGCTTTCATAAACCTTTAAGAAACCTTATTTCAAAGTTGAATCCTGTCACTGTGCATCTGGAAAGCCCTATTTGTCACCATGTAAAAAACCATTTGTAAAAGTCCAATCGGACAATGCTCCCAGCTTTCTGACTGTAGTTTGATGAAGCCCAAATTTTGAAAAACATCACCATGCTTCCCTTGTGATGATTTAGATTCAAGTCTGAATTATGTGAGAGGACCTAATTTGGGTAGATGTGGTGTTGGGTCAGCATTTTGTGGGACTACTTGGACCCTTTGCTTAAATTTCTGTTTGTGTTCAGCTTCACTTATCCAGTCATCTAAGGTTTCTCTTACCTGTGTGTAGGAATATCATGCCCAGCTGGAGGAGATGCGAGTTTCCATTAGACAGCTGGAGGAGGACCTGTCTGCTGCCCGTCGCCGTAGCGACCTTTATGAGGCAGAACTGAAAGAGTCCCGCCAGGCCAGCGAAGAACTGAAGAGGAAAGCTGCAGAGTACCAGCACAGGATTCAGAAGGTCTGCACTGGAACTAAAGCTTTTAATGATTCAAAGGTTTTAGGAAGGCATCAAACTGTATGAACAGTTGTGGTCAGACGTTTGCATCATGGGCATGAATGTCATGGTATTGGGGGTTTTGATGATTTCTTTGAAATGTTCTTTCTCCACATTGTTGAGCAGTGATTGTATGGCATACATCTGTAATGGCTAAAACACAAGAATTGGGTGCCTAAGTTTGTGGACTACATTTAAAGGCAGGTCAGTTACAGGAAACAATTGGGCAACTTTCTAAGGGGCATTAAACCAAATATTAGTGTGGGTGTGTGCATATATTTGAGCCTAATTTTGACCCTTAGTGGATTTGATGAATGCTATGTAAACTACTGAGCATACCTGTAATCTGGCTGTTGGCAATTATAGCGCTCACAGTGACAGAGCAAACACATGATCGTGATTTGCAACTTCTCACTTTTCTAGTAAAGTAGTGATCATTTCTCTTCCTGACCTTCATCTTCACAGGCCAAAGATCAAGGGAAAGCAGAAGGAGATGAGACGATCACCAAGTTGGAGAAGGTAGCTCATGAAGTTAATTTATTCGTGATAAAACTGTGTGATTGGTGAGGGTGAAAATTTATTCTAGGTAAAGACACTGAAGAGTTTAAATGACTTTAATGTGGGATAATATTTCCATATTAAAAGGATTTTTTCCCCCCTTTTTAGACAAATACTGAACAGCATGTAAAGATCCAAGAGCTACAGGAAAAACTCACCAAGGTAAAATATTTTTGTTTAAAAGACCAATTAATAATTTATTTGAACTTGTATCCTAAATGGAAGAGATGCAGCAGTATTTTTGCACTTTGAGATGACTTTATAAACTTTTCATTACCCTTCCCAACCCCCTCCTTCCTCTCTCTGTCTCTTGATTAAACTTTGGTCTCTTGTCAGATGTAGGCTATTGCCAGGGAACGATTAAAGAGTTATGATTAATAATCAACAGTCAAACAGTTTTGGCTATAATTGGCCTAAATCTGACACAATGCGAACTAAATGTGAAATAATTAACATGTAGCATGTAATTTTCTTAAGGATTTGGTATGAGCAATATAAAGTAGTTTATTTAAACATAAGAAAGAGAGCAAAAGTTAGGTTATTCCTTCTAAATGTTTTCCATCTTTTCCTTGTAATTACTAGGCATTAAAAGCAAATGCTGAGGCTACTGACCTCCTTCAGACTACAAAACTGGCCAAAGAGCGCATGGAGCGGGATCTAGAGAGGCTCCAGAATAAGGAAGACTCCAGTGACAGCCTACGCAGACGTCTCCGTGAGACTGAGGTACACACACACAAACACTGCTGTCACAGACACTGTACACATGCACAAAGACTTTCATACATGCGTTCTGGGGGTTTTTTCTTGCTATTCTGTGTTTTCAGTCATTCGTAGATTCGCACCGTCAAAATTTCTGTGTTAAAAGTCTTAAATAATCTGATAGAAGCACAAACCTGTTCTGTAATGAATTGTTGCTTGTCAGAGAGGTTTTGTTTTGGGATTTGATTATTTCCTGGTTGTCGGGATCTCCCCCCGCTGTCCAGTTCTTGTGAGTGACACCAGATTAAACCAGACAAAAATGTCTGAGCTCAACAAACATTTATTGTCTTTAGTTTAAGGTCTTCAGTCTGTATCCATTATGTAGCGACTGTGTGGTTTTGGACAGAAGGACATTTATTGTGATTGTTCCTGTGAAACTAACCAGGCTGCCTATTACATTTTACTACATGATCACCGAGTGGCTGTTTCTGTATACAGTTTTATTCCAGGCCACATTCAGGTGACTGCCTTAACATCTTTTTTTTAAAGCAGCACATTCCTTTTTTAAGCCTTTTGTCCTGTTTTGACATAAAAATTTAAGGCTCTAAATCTGGATTGTTTGGACAAAATGATTAGTCCTTTAACAAAATTTTAATTCTAATTTAGATTTTATGAAGCAAATAAAAAATAAAACACTCCAGTGTGCAGACAATCAGGCACCAGCAGCACATCTCTAGTTTTAGCATCATCTAAGTTTTAGTATCTTTCTGAGAGTACTAATCTGAATCTGAATGCACTGCTACGTCACACAACTGTCGTGATAAATTAATGACATAAATTAAATGACATAAATATGCAGTCATATAGAAGCTCTGTTTGTAGGGTCTTTTTGTTATGACCGTATCTTAGTACTTCTGTAAACAGCATAACTTGGAGTCAGAGAAAAGAGAATATGCAACAAGGTCAAATTTATACAGCTCCAAAGATCTCCTACACCTCCCAACATGAAAGGAAATGAGCTCTGTGGAACTTTAGTTGGGAGTAACTTGAAATAATGAGATATAAACACAGCAGAGATGCATCCCTAACAAGCCAACTGGGTGTGACCATTACAGTATGTCGCCAGTTCTTCCTTGAAGTGGAAATTTAAAGTTAATTGCTGTTCTTATAATTGTGTGTTATGTCTAGATAGCAAAAAAAAGCACTGTTTTAGAGCATTAATTCTTTTGACTTGTGGATGAATTTGAAAAAATCATCGCTACGTTTTGTGCATAACTTTTGCTTGTTTTGTGTTATCCAGGATGGCAGGAAGACTCTTGAGAACCAGGTGAAGAGGCTCGAGATTGTTGAGCGCCGGGAGGCCAAACTGAAGGATGAAATCCAGAGCAAGGGCCAGCAGATTCAGCAGATGGCAGATAAGATTCTGGTAACCCACCTTTCACCTTTCAAGCAGAGCAAAATGAAGAAGGAGGTGTGAAATAAACAGAACTCATTGTCATCATTGCAAAAGAAGTGCAAATTTACATCTAATATTTTTACATATGCAGTGCTCAGACACTCCACATTTTGTATTTTAATTGCCTTACAGCTGTGATACAACCAGGCCAGCGCTTTGAATCCGTTTACATCACCAGACTGTGTGTGATCAGATCTCTCTCTAACTTTTCCAATAGTTTTGTTGCACCTGTTATGAGAAATTACTCCTTTATTTCCATTATTTTCTGCATTATCAGTGTCTGAACTGTGTGCCTGAGATGAAAGTATTAAGCATATCCACTCAGAGCTGACAAAACCGTTTCAAACAGACAGTTTAGAGGACTGTGAATCATGAGCTTTTGACTCACAACGATTATAGGGAAATTAATATGAGCAAGCACAAAATACATGCAGTCATCTGAAAAAAAAAAGGTTTTACAAGACTATTTGGTGTCCCGTGAAAAACTAAGAACACCTCGTACTATTCATATGAATTAACAGGGTGAGTGCATTTGCTGATAACCAAACGCATCATTAACATTAAGTGATGATCAGGAAGTGTGAGCACCTCCATAAAAGCAGTTTTTTGCCATGTTGCTGATCTGGATGATTCATGTGTTTATTGTCACAATGCCATAACAGTCCCCTGAGTGTGAATATTACGCAAATTCATATATTGTGCACTGCAGATTCACCTGAAATCAGACCGTGCAGTGCTCAGGAAAAAAACAAAACAAAAAGCTGACAGCACAATTTGAAAAAAGACTGATCACATAGGGAGTGTTGCAGCTGGAGAAACCACAAGACAGCTGAAACAATGTACTTTGGGAAGATGAGACCAAAGATGGCGTTTGGCCATGATGCTCGACACCACGTTTGGCAAAAACCAAACACCGCATATCAGGACAAACACCTTATACCAGCTGTCGAGCACGGCGGTGAGCAGTGATGGTTTGGGCTTGCTTTGCACTTACAGTGCAGACCAAGAACTCTGTGTGCCAAATTATTCTAGATTTGAATGTGAGCCCATTTCTCTGAAGCTAGGTAAATGGTAACTGGACTGGCTTTTCTACTCTACCTGAGTGCTCAAAGTGCTTTAACTCATTCACCCATTCACACAAGCACTTAAATAGTTTCTGTCTTTCTAACTAACATTCACACGCCAGTGGATGCATTGGAGACCAACTTGAGGTTAGTATCTTCCCAAGGATATTGGAGATGCAGACGGAAGCAGCCACTGATCAATACACCAACCTTCCCATTAGTAGACGACCTGCTCCACCTCCTGAGCTACAGCCACCCGTTGACCAAAACTTGTTCATGTAACAGGACAATGACGCCAAACACATCAGCAAATTTCTAAGAGAGAGGCTGAAAAAAACAGTCAAGGTTTAGTAATGATCTAGTCATGATCAATCTGATTGAAATGTTATACCTCAAGAGAGCAACGCCGTAAGGAAGAGTGGGCCAAAATTCAACCACAATGATCTGAAAGACATACAGAAAGTGATTATTTCAAGTTATTGCTGCTAAGGCTAGATCTATAAGGCACTAAATTATGGGCATGTTTTCTTGTGAAAACGTTCTGGTTCCCGTGTCTGCTTGTGACAATCAATAATAAAAGAAGTCCCTTTTAAAACTCTGAGAGAGTCACAAAGCTTCTCCATTTACTTTTGATTAAAAAGAAGTCATAGAAATTGACCTTTTGCAGCAGTGTGTGTGAGGTCCACCTGTGCATTCCCTGCTGCGTCTCAGCCAAAATCTGTGCTATTAATAAAGCCCAAAAAAGAGAGGAGCTGACGCTGGAATCATTGATATAAATGACTTTGTGTTACCTGAGCTCCTCTACAACCATAGTAACAAAGACAAGGAAATTTTACACTGTAATCATTGCATTTAATACTAATCTTTCTCCTATATTGTACGAGGGATTAAAAAACACCTGTGTGTTGGTGATTGAATCTCTCGCTGACTACCAGAGACCACAATCAACCAGAGCAGAGCTAAATAAACAGTTGTTATAATTATATCTCAAAGCTCTCAAAACCTGCTGGTGAGCAGCAGGAACCATCGCTTATTGTGATTAGGTGTTAGTGATTTTGAAGTCCTTTGCACTGCCTCTAACAAATGTATGAGTTGTGTTTTGTGATGAAATGCTTTATGCATTACCTTTATGCCAGAAATGATGGCTACTTTAGCGTTTGCGAGCATGGCTGCTGATGTCAACATGAAGCAAGTGACCTATTTGTATTTTGTGTAGGAGCTGGAGGAGAATTTGCGAGAGACTCAAGCCACAGCCCAGCGCCTGGAGACTCACCTGAAACAGAAAGAGAAGCTCTACGAAGACAAGATAAAGGTTCGACTTATAAATATGTACACACAATCATATACGCAGACCCACTGGTTTGATGTAAAACACCATGCAGAAATGTCCCGATAAACTTGCTGGAAGTGCTCTGTCTAGTGGTCGTGCCTTAGCCGGGGTGCTGGGAAGAGCAGCAATATGTCATATTCAAATTCATATTTTACCCTGTTAAGTGATATCCCGGCTATGGGTCTGTGGGTTGCCTGGCATTGAGCAGGTGCTAGAGGCCCAGATGAAGGCGGACATGGCCGATAAGGAGATGCTGGAGTCCAGTCAGAGCAAATATGAGGAGGAGGTGCGGGAGAAGTGCAGCATCATCAGTGAACAGAAGGCGGTAAGAACTGACCAGCTTGGGAGCATTATTTCAGGCATATTTTAATATTTATCACACTGACATAGATTCCATGTTTGGAATAATGATTGTATAATTAAAAAGCACAAAAATCACCCTTAATCCGATCCCAGGAAGACCAAACTAAATGTTTGTTAAGCGTATGTTATAGCTTACACATTTTCTTTTCAGACAATAAATGCAATGGACTCAAAGATGAACAGTCTGGAGCAGAGAATTGCTGAACTATCTGAGGCCAACAAACTAGCAGCTAACAGCAGTATCTATACCCAGAAAAACATGTAAGTGCCCCAACACAAAGCATTGTTATTGTGCTCCATAATAACAATAAAATACAATAATAATACAATAGATACAAATACGCTTGTAAGCGTGTCCTTTTATTGTGTCAGGGCAGAGTGAAGCTGCAGCTTGTGCGCAATAATATCTGGAAGGTACTTAATTCTGACCTTGCCGTTGCTACATAGCCTTCTATTTAACCTTTTGCACATTTTGATGTTTTGTCTTGCCAGGAAAGCCCAAGAGGAGATGATCTCAGAGCTTCGCCAGCAGAAGTTCTACTTGGAGTCTCAGGCCGGGAAGCTGGAAGCTCAGAATGCCAAACTGGAAGAGCATCTAGAGAAAATGACTCAGCAAGAGCAAAGCAATAAGAGCCGCGTGCTGGAGCTGGAAACCAGGCTCCGAGAGGTGAGGAGACATTAGAACAGGTGCAGGATATCTCTGCTGATAGATGGTGGTGGATTTTCCAACTGTGTGACAGCACTTTTCTTTGTATTTGCTCTGTTCCCTGTCTGTTTGTCACAGCACCATCCGCTTCATAGAGTCTTTTATTTATATGCTTTATTTTGTACATATGAAGTAATCTTACTTAATAATATTATAGAGTGTCTGCACATATTTTTTTTATCAAAGCATAAAAGGCATTTTTGAATATTAAATAGACGAAGCTGTGCAGTAAACCTCTTCCATCTGTGTTGATCTGGCTCCATGTAGTATAAACACACTTGCGTGGAACTGTGTCCCCGAGTGTATATTGAGGAAATAATTATAGTGTAGTATATATATCGTGACCTCTTGGGGAAGCAGGTGGTGCATATAAAATAGTTGTTTGATGGTAATATAAGGACTAGAGCTGCTAAGTTGGACATTGAAAAGGTAGGGACCATTTGATGTGCAGTGCATATTATGATATATGGAGTTTGGGATCCAGTAGCATCATTTAGGATACATCCAGATGAACAGAATCAACTTTTTGGGATTTAGGATACAGGATATTTTCTGCAGTACTCCATTTATCTCCATAATAGCTTGTAATTTGAATTTCCCCGGGCCATAAAAGTCTCACTTGCTATTGTAAAGTCAGATGTTACAAAAAGTGAAGCCTAATAACTGAAGGCAGTCAGACATGTGTCAGGTGTAATGCTCTCACACCGAGGTGATGTCAGCATGTGTCTGACTGCGCTGGGGATGAATCGCCTCCTCCTCCTGATCCTGGTCTTTCTGTCTGCTTTTGTAGATTGGGCTGGAGCATGAGGAACAAAAGCTGGAGATTAAACGTCAGGTGACAGAGCTGACCCTTTCACTGCAAGAGCGTGAATCTCAGATCAGCAACCTGCAGGCAGCTCGCCATGCCCTGGAAAGCCAGCTGCAGCAGGCTAAGACCGAGCTGGAGGAGACCACTGCAGAGGCCGAGGAGGAGATAACTGTGCTCAGAGTAAGAGAAATGGAAAGGAAAAAAAGTAGCGAAGATGCTGTGTCATTGATGTTGTGTAATGTAGGCAGTAATATCTGTCCCTGCATCTCTCCTGTCATTCCTCCTAGGCACACAGAGATGAAATACAACGCAAATATGATGCCTTGAGAGACAGCTGCGCGGTAAGCTGCTCACACCCTTATTTTTGTCGTTCGCTCTTTACAGGAATAAACAGCTCTTCTGGCACCGAACACCAGCTGAATCATCGCACTAGAAGTAGCCTCGTTTCAGTCCATATGTGTTTCTGTCACTCTTGGATGAATTAAAATGTAAAATCATTTGACTCCGTGTCACTTTTAACACCTTCCCCGTTTCATCACGTTTGTCTACCTTGCTGGTGCTCTTCATGGAGATGTAAAGCTGACTGCATAAATGTGCATCCTTAAATATGAGCAGGTCTCCACCCTGTTTTCAAAACATTATGTTTCTGGTCAAAGTGAGAATTGTTATTCCAGACACAATTTTTACAGTAATATTAGACTAACTCTCAGAACTGTTTGTTGTTTTCATGGCACCATTGTGCGCATTAACACAGAAACTAAGTGAACCTCCACTAACCAAAGTTAGTCCTACTGAATCAGAAAATAATGCCCTCTATTCGGTGATCATTGCTATTTGGGAGCTCCAAATTTTTTTAGATTTATTTGCTTTACGTTGTTATGAATGAACATTTCCTGGTAACTCTTTGGTTTACTAACACAGGATCTTGTGACATGTGACTAACCTTGCCAAATTATGTTGTCATTTTTCAGGTATTTAGGTGCCGTCAAGTTTATGTAGCTTGAATAAATACCAAAACCGTCACAGTCTTCCTTTATCCCATTGCCCTACTTTTGAGATCCTCCCACTCACAAACTGTTCAGAAAGCGACAACCATAGATTTAGCTGGCCAGTAGTCAGGCAAGCACAGCCAAATTCAGCAACAAGCAGAGCTTGAAATGCCACTCTATTTTTTGCCCTGCTGACTTGCAGTGTTGGTTTAACCATTAGTCTGTGGAGCATTTTGGAGGAGAACAGGATATCTGGACAACTGTGAGCCAAAGTGTCATTTAATTTAGTGAGGTCTCCCGGAAATTATTAATGCATTATGGTGTGCGTTTTGTATTATGAGAGCATTGTGGCGACTAGTCACCGGATGTGGGAGCTCATGATGTTTTCACTGCTTTATGATCTTTTTAAAAAATCTGTATTCATTGAGGTTCATAGCATACCTTCACTTTTTTAACATTGTAGTTAATCAATTGTATATTATAGGATTATAGCTGAAGCCATCATGGGTGTGTTAGACTGCTGTGGGCAATGTTTAAAACTGATAAAGACTGCAAATTCATTGGATGTAGTTATATACAGTGGGGCAAAAAAGTATTTAGTCAGCCACCGATTGTGCAAGTTCCCCCACTTAAAATGATGACAGAGGTCAGTAATTTGCACCAGAGGTACACTTCAACTGTGAGAGACAGAATGTGAAAAAAAAAATCCATGAATCCACATGGTAGGATTTGTAAAGAATTTATTTGTAAATCAGGGTGCAAAATAAGTATTTGGTCAATAACAAAAATACAACTCAATACTTTGTAACATAACCTTTGTTGGCAATAACAGAGGTCAAACGTTTACTATAGGTCTTTACCAGGTTTGCACACACAGTAGCTGGTATTTTGGCCCATTCCTCCATGCAGATCTTCTCGAGAGCAGTGATGTTTTGGGGCTGTCGCTGAGCAACACGGACTTTCAACTCCCGCCACAGAATTTCCATATCAGCGTTGCATTTACACTCTATAGCATTCACACTGCTCACTGAAAGAAAGATCCTCCTCTGTGTTTTGTAGCAGAGGTAAACAGTAAATGATATGTTAATTTTAATCAGTGAAAGTGTGTGACAGCCACAGATTTCACAAACAGCACTGAGCAGTTTGTATTCAGCAGCGTTGAGGATGCAGATCTAGATGTGATTTACCTTAGCTGTTTAAGTTGCTCTACAGATTTGGTTGACAGATGATTGGAATAAATTGCCAGATCACCGCTGCACTCATTCCACTGTTGACTTCTAGCCTTGCCTTAAGAATTTAGTCGCTGCTGTCAGTCCCCTGCCGAAAGGGAGCAGAAGCACTGAGTCAGTACAGAACAGGCAGCTAATTTATGTACTTAAAAGCTTTGCCTCTTCCCCCCTGCCACCTTGAAATTCTGTGTGGTCCCCTTGTTCCCACAAGAGCCGAGAATAAGGGGCTTTTAACAGACAGCCTCGTATAACCCTCATCTCTTTACAGTGTGCACTGTAGTCATGGCTGATTAAAGGAACAGACCGATGCTGATGAAATGATTATTCTCATTCTGAATGCTACTTGGGTTGAAACAGCAGCATAGAAAAATGATTACTGCATTACATCACTAACCCAGATATCTGCATCATGTAATCATGCAGCAGTAGAGTGGAGATTGTGTGGGGTGTTAGGTCAGCTGTTATTGTGGAGGAGCAACGATCTGAGCATTATATGCACAACAGCACCAAAACTTTTTCTTATGTGCGAATTGTAAAATTAACATTTTTATTACTTTTCTCGAACATCCAGGAATTCTGCTTTTACAGTGTAGGTACACACTGCCTTTGGAGCAACAAAAACACTGTGTAAAGTGTCACATTACAGGGGTACATTTTAGTTGCAGATGGATACTGTGTATGTATTCAGCCATTTAAATGTGAAATATGAATGTTCCCTTTACTCTGTAGGTGATCACAGACCTGGAGGAGCAGCTGACAACATTGACTCAGGAGAATGCAGAGCTTAACCGTCAGAACTTCTACCTGTCCAAGCAGCTGGATGAAGCCTCTGATGAGAGAGAAGATCGACTGCAGCTCAGCCAGGATGTGGACAGGCTGCGTCGGGAGGTGGCTGACCGTGAAATGCACCTTAACAACCAGAAACAGGTGCTGACTTCTGATGATGGTGTACAGTCCTAAAATGCAGATGGGTTTGTGAACCCTGAATAAAAACAGAAGCTTAGTTACCAGAAAGCACACTGAACCTCTACTATTAGCCCAGAGAGATGTTTGAATCAGATTCAAGAGGCTTGTTGAATCTCTTGTTAGGGTTTCACCTGACACAGGATGGGGCTTTAGAGGGCAACTACACAGGCCACTCACACGTCACCACATACAGTAAATACATTACTTTTTGTTGTTATTTTCCACTACAGTAAACATTAATATCTATTATTCTTAAAAATAAAGCCCTAATTTCAAAAAAGGTGTAAAATCTGAATAAAAATGCAACGATTTGCAATTCTCATAAACACATATTTCATTCACAGTTGGAACATAGGAATAAAGAAATGGTTTAAAATGACCAAATTTTACATTTTAAGAAAAATAATCACTCATTATGAATTTGATAGCAGAATGCATATGTAAACACTGGGTCAGGAGGCATGTTTATCACTGTGTGGCCATCCCTCTTCTTTTAACATTAGCCTGTAAATCACTGCGAGCAGCTGCTGGACTTTTGAATGAGGAAACTCATCCAACTGTTGTGTGATGTAGGATCCTTTGCTCAGCGGTCCTGGGTCTACTTTGTTGTGTTGTTTGTTTCTTGAGCCCCAAATCTTTTCAACCCTGTATTCAGCTTTTAGCACTGATGGTGCCTTTCCAGATGTCCAAAGACATAGGCAGTGATGCCCCCCATAATAAGCTGAATGGTCCCTCTCCTCTTAAATCTAGTTGATGTGGCGTCCATATTTTCCAAAAAGAATTTAAAAGTTGGGTTTGTCTCACCACAGAACAGCTTTCCACTTTGCCTCAGTCTATTTTAAATGAGCTTTGGACCAGAAAAGAGAACATTTGTGGAAGTGTTTCAGAATCATGTCTCTTTTTTTAATGGTAAATGGACTCATTCTCATATAGCACTTTTCTACTCAATCTGAGCACTTCCATAAGGAAGCTTCCTATCTAACGTTCACATACATTTATATTCTGATGGACACATCTGAGAGCAACATGGGGTTAGTATATTGCTCAAGGATATGTGCCAGACGCACGATCTGATATCCTCGTGTTGGTGTTCTTCCCACATCATCATAATAAATGTTGCTCCAGGTTCAACATTGCAAGTGACCAATAACATTGTTGTGACATCATACGTTTGTGACTTCGGAAAAAAACGCATTAAACAAAAAATCTACTTAACTTGCGAGAAACCGCCTCCGTCCGCCGATCCAGCAATTTGAATTCTTTGCACTTCATACTGTTCTTTAATAAACGGTAAGCATTATACATATTGTCCTTGCAACATTGGAATTTCATAAATGAATGACTCGCTTAGCTTGCAAAAGTATGACGTCAAACAATGTGATTGGTCACTTGCAGTGTTGAACCTGGAACAACATTTATTCTGATGATGTGGGAACAACACCAACACGAGGATATCACCAACCTTCTGTTTGGTAGGTGATCTGCTCTACCACCCGAGCTACAGCCTCCCCTAAAGCTGTTTCTTGTGAGGGCCCAGAGATCGCAGGCATCCAATATTAACTTTTGGCCTTGTCCCTTGTCCTCAGAGGTTTCTTCATATTCTAAGAATCTTTTGATGATATTATGTGCTGCAGATTATTCAGGAGAAATTGTTGCATAGCTTTTTGCAGATTGATGTCTCTAAGATGATCTTTTCGTACCCAGTTTTGTTTTGACCTGTTGCTAATTAACCTAAATACTTGCAAAATGTTTAATTTTAGTACCACTTGCATTTTTTCCAATGTTTTATTGCCCCCATCTCAACTTTGAAATAGCTGTTTCCATCAAATTCAAAATGAGCTATGATCTTTCATGAACTAGCAATACATCTCAGTTAAAACATTTGATATATTTTCTGTGTTCTGTTGTGAATGAAATCACAGTATGCTGTTTTCATTTACATTTTACACAGACTGGATTTTCCTTTGGTGCTGGCAAAATTGTTATATGCAGGAACAATCCAGCTGGTATTTTTTATTACTTACCAGCAGATTTATTAGCTTCTGACACTGAATTTCCTGCTCAAAAGAAAAAGTTAGGCAGGTTCAAATCAAATAACTGTTTACTAAGCTCGGGTCAGTAACAGGAAGTCTGTCAGAGAAGGCGTGAGCATCAGATGAAGAGCAGCAAGCAAAACTACATGTACAGACAGGAACACTGTATTAAGCACAGGGAACACTACACAACAATAACATGACAACCAGATGTGAAATAAAAATAGATTTTACTGCAAAGCAAGAGCACGAATCAGACAAGCGAGAAAGAAAAACACAAGCAAAACTCAGATAAAGTGTGAAGTCTGCATTCATTCTCGATATCATTTTGCACGGGCGGCCAGTCATTCAGCAAATAAACACATAAAGAGTTGACATCTGAACCCAGCATTTAGAGTCACAGTGCTTACCACCCCGCCAACATGCCACCGCTTTTGTGTGGCAGTTGTTTCTGCATGAAAGTTGAAGTCTGTGAGAAAACATCATTTTCTGTTTTCTAAAACACTTGTATTCCTTCCTCTTATTCAAGTTTCTTCACCCTGCCCACTTCCCACTCACAGTCAGACAGGAGCTTTTCACTTACGCTCACATTATTTGATATCTCCACAACACCTGTGACAGGTGACCTAGACATCTCTCCCAGCTCCGAGAGTGCCAAGTGTAAATCAGGCAGCCGAAACACTGGAATAATTTTATTATTGTTATGCGTCGTATTCTCAACGCAGTGAGAATGAGAGATGGAGAGAAAGAGAGGGAGAGAGGAGGCTGTGTGATGGTGTGTTGCCCCTGTGGGAGGATTTGTGTGTGGGTGTCCAGTAGCGCTCTCAGTCCTGCTGGTTGTGTAACCACCGATGGAAGTCATAGACGAGGGATGGGGTGGTGTGTGGGAGGGATGTGTCATCCCCATCACTCCCAGGTCGTGTCAGCTGTGGAAGCATTGGACTTCAGAGGGCCGTGGTGTTGCTGCAGCACCGGCAGAGGCTATATTTGTCTCCCCATGCTTTGTCTAAAGGAGTCTGTTGTAAGACATTAAACATGGAGCTTTGTGTAGGCCTGGTGAAAACTATAGGAAAACATTCCGAGGCATGAAAATAACTCCAGGTTCAAATAGTCATTTACATGGAACGTTAGTTGTCAGACTTCATGTATATTATTCAAACAGTTTGTGAGCCCCTGGCTCTAGCATTGTGGTTTCTTTTTAACAGATTGTGACTGACAATGCCATGAAAACATTTTTACTTTTTGACTTCTTAGTTTTTTGCATATTTGTTACACCTACATTTTTCAGATCATCAAACAGTTTTTGATACCCAGTGCCCGATGGGTGACGTGATACCCACGTTTGTGAATATGATAACTCAAGAACAAGGCAAATTAAGATTTTCCAATTGATACCGTTGGTGCACCTACACCTGTTTAAGATCACCCTAAATGATGTCAATCTGATTAACCCTCTCAGGCTCAAATTAAACTTTTTGTTGCTAATGCACAACCAAGTCCTGCAGTGGTACTTCTGAGTAAAAAAAACCACATAAAATATGTATGTGGGGTAATCAGGTTGTTAGTTTTTAACTGTTGCAAATCGGCAACGCCTGCCTCGAGAGGGTTAATGTCTGGACTTTGATTAGGCCAATCTAAAGCCTTCATTTAGTTTTGGGTTTTGAGTCATTCAGTAGGTGGACTTGCTGGTGTGCTTCGGATCATTGTCCTGCTACGTGAACCAAGTGTGCTTGAGGTTCAGAGCATGAACTGATGGCCATTCATTCTCCATAAGACTTTTATGGTAGAGAGCAGCATTCATGCTTCTGCTCTTTACTGTAATTGAATACAGACCTGGATGGAGTATTTAATTACAACCGTACAGGTCCTAAAGCAGCAAAACAGCCCCAGACTATCACGCTACCACCACCAGGAGGTAGTGTAGGAGTGATGTTCTGTGAAATGCTCTGTTATTTTTATGCCAGAGTCAAACCTTCCTAAAAAGATCAACTTTTGTCTCATAAGTCCAAAGGTTTTAGAGATCATCACATGTTTTTGGCAAATGTGAGACGAGCGTTTGTGTCCTGTTTGGTCAGAAGTGGTTTTCTCTGTGGAACGCTCCCATGCATACTTTGCTGAACCTTAACTGAAGCGAGTGAGACCTGCTGTTCTTTAGCTATGGTGTTTGGATCTTTTGTGACCTCCTGGATGAGAATCGCTCTCACAAAGGTTCACTGGAGTCCTAAAGCATTAGAAAGGCTTCGTAAACCTTTCTAAGCTGACAGATTTCAGTTACTTTGTTTGACTTTATGTGATTTCTTGATTCAACAGCTCTGGCAGTAATCAGACCTGGGTGGGGCCAGTGAAATTGAATGCAGCTGTCCAACAGATGTGATTAGTCACAGTTAATTCATGATTTAACAGGGAGGGGCAATTACTTTCTCCAGGTAGGATTGGATAGCTTTTTTCCCCCATAGTAAATAAAGCATTCTTACTAGAGTTGCTTTCCCACAGTCCTACAGTTTAAACAATTTTTATTTATCTTAAACTGAGTCTTGGTGCATCCACTCTGTTAGTTGATTAATTCTTAAACAAGCCATTTTGACTCTTGTCAACTTTCTTGTGATTGGCAGCCTCTTGTAAACAGAAGGGTTGAACAGTGGGTGGGCGTGGCTTCTGGTTTCGAAAAAACAGAACTGTGTGCCTGGGCTGAATATTTTAAAGATGTGCCCTCTTGACGACCTCAAACAGATCAAAAACAGTCTGAAACATTCTCATCTGTTCACCAGAATCTTGAGACTCTGAAGACCACGTGTACCATGCTGGAGGAACAGGTCATGGAGCTGGAGACTATGAATGATGAACTGCTGGAGAAGGAGAGACAGTGGGATGCCTGGAGGGCAACACTGGAGGAGGAGAAGAACCAGGCTGAGCGGAGGACCAGAGAGATCCAGAGACTCTTAGACACTGAAAAACAGAATAGGTGACCACCACAAGATGTATCACTGTAACTGTGGGTGTTAACTAATGAATCCTAAATAGCCAAAATGTTTTCCTCAATGTTCTGTTTCTATTTTGCTTGTAATTTTCTTGCTACTATGAAAACAGTCTACAGCACATTAACTTATATTCAGTGCACCTATAGTGCCTCAAAGAAACGTTAGTATATTTATTTCTGCACATTGCAATAGTCCAGTTATGTAATCTTGCCACAAGACCTTTAAGGAGGCTTATGAGTTTCTTATTTCATCAGCAGAGAAAACTATTTTTGCTCTAAATGTTTCTCTTGCTATCAGTGTTGGATAAAGCTCCCTTCGCCTACACGCACTGGATTCGACAGGCTTTGCCGTATTGTCTAGGGTCTGTCAAAGCAGGAATTCTAGGTAAAATATGAAATGATTTTCTGAGTTGCCTGGAACAGTGGAAAGTGATGAAAATTAGGTAAACTTTAAAGCATTCAAAAACTGAAATTACATTTTTAGTGGTGTGTTTTCCTCTATCCAGAACCACACGACTTTACCCCAAACAAACCAATGAGTGAAACAGCAATATGAACATTACGAAATACTTTAGTCAGTTTGTTTCAAAGAGCCTGTAAACACATAATAGATGAACTTGAAGAGCACGCACTCGAAGGCTGAAAAATAACTGGCACTAACTTTTCTCCGATCTAGGCTCCGTGCAGAGCAGCGCAGCACCGAGTCTCGGCAGGCTGTGGAACAGGCAGTTAAAGAGCACAAAGCTGAGATCCTGGCCCTGCAGCAGGCCCTCAAAGACCAGAAACTCAAAGCCGAGAGCCTTGCAGACACTGTACGCATTTTCACACTCCTGAATAACATCTGTTAAGTTTTGTGTAGTTAGCAGATGTCGCGGCAAACTCTTCCTTTTCATTCCTCAGCTGAACGATCTGGAGAAGAAGCATGCCATGCTGGAGATGAATGCCCGCAGTTTGCAGCAAAAACTGGAGAGTGAGAGAGAGCTGAAGCAGAGGCTGCTGGAAGAGGCACAGTGTTTCATTATTTTCACAGAGCCACTGATCTGATCATTTTATTACACTTTTATTACAGACATATGGTCAAAACCGGAAAATAAGTCGGTTCTATTTTTCAGAAATTCTTAGCAGTAATAATAATAAACCTTTCTGTATGAAACCACGCTGAAAGGTATAGCAATCAGTAAAAGCAATCAGTTGTAAGAAGTGTGTGTGGCTTAGTAAAGACATTCAGAGGGTGATGTAAAGGTGCTTTACCTCCACAGCAAGAGAAGCTGCAACAGCAGATGGATGCCCAGAAGACCCACATATTTCGTCTGACCCAGGGGCTGCAGGACGCTTTGGACCAGACTGACCTGTTGAAAACTGAAAGGACTGACCTGGAATACCAGCTGGAGAACATCCAGGTGCTGCTACACACATACATGCACACGCCTACTAAAGACAAATGAAAAAAACCCACACATGTAGGAACCATGTGAGTTTTAAATCACTGCAGGTACATGTACGTTGCTGGACTGTGTCATTTTCAGTCTTGTTTCTCCCCCACTGTTCTGAGCCACACGTATGTGCACACACACTATTTGTTTTACAGCACACAACTCCCTCCCCTACTTTCTGTCTCTGTCAACCTCTCTGTATGAAATGAAGTACTTGAGAAGAAATTCATGGCAGTAGTGATGTTCACTTAGCTCCACCTGCAGGCTGTATACTCTCATGAGAAGGTGAAAATGGAGGGAACCATTACCCAGCAGACTAAGCTCATAGACTTCCTCCAGGCCCAGGCACACGGTGGCTCCAAGAAGAAAAAGGTCAGATGGGATTAAATATCTCTCTCTCTCTCTCTCTCTACATATATATATATCTATATCTATATATATATAGATATAGATATAGATATAGATATATATAGATATACAGATATATATAGATATACAATAATTTCTTGTGTTTCTCCCTGTTTGTGTTTGCTTGTGTGTGTCTCAGGGTCTCTTTGGACGTCGTCGGGAGGACCTGTTGGCCGCCATGGCTGCTCAGGCTCAGACTCAGGGTCAGACTCAGACTCAAGGCCAGGCTTCCCCTGTGCCTGCCATCCAGCCGGTGCCTCTGCAGTACAGCGACATGAAGGCAGCTCTAGACAAAGAACGTTCTCGTTGCACAGAGTTAGAAGATGCTCTGCAGAAAATGAGAGCAGAACTGCGAGCACTGAGAGAAGAAGGTGAGACTGCCCTGCACCAATCTGTGGACTCCAATTTATTTACACTCTGTTGTTCATTTATAATCATCAGTAGAAACTTGAACTAAGAATTTTTTTAAATTTTACTCAAAACAAAATACTCAAAGTTAGTCTTTCCAACCCAGCTCTGCAGTATAAGGACCACGGAAGTTCTACAAACCCAGCCACAGCTCGGCAACAGATAATTATGTCTGCCATGGTGAAGTCTCCTGAGCACCAGCAGGGCCCCACCAGCCTTGCACCCTCCAACTCTGGACGGAGGAAGGACACTCCCACACCCGAGGGTAAGGGAACGGTGATTTTCATAGTAGCTCAGTGTGGTTTTTTTTAATCCAATGGCACAAACATGCAGGCTCACAGGAGATGCATAGAGGAGAGTGAGGTAAGATGAGCCGGCAGGTTTGTTATCTCATTTAGGCAACCATTCATAATTTTTGTCATGTGACTTTTTCTTCTTTTTTACCTTGCTGTGTAAGGAAGAACTATTTAAGAAGACGTGTAAACAGCTCAAGTCAAAGCCTTTTTTGGCAGCTCAGTTTATCAAGTTCAATCAGATGTACTGTGTAGAAACATGTGAAGGAGTCAGTAAAGTGCTCTAGTTTACTCTAGTATAAGTCTGATAAACACTGTGGTTGTGGTGTAACATGGGAAAGAGCCTTTGTGGTAAGCTGTGCTTACATCAAGTGAGATATTTGAGGTTTAAACTCGTTTCCATCATACCAGTGAGCAGATATTGTTCTCATTTTAGACGCGCTGTAGCCCGAGCACTATCATGCAGAATAATTATAGAAGAAAAAGAAACACAGGTCCCCTGCACCGCTATTCTTCAAACCTAGACCTCTGTATTCGGGATGCAACGATACCAATTTTTTCAAACTGATACGATACCGATACTTGGATCTGAGTAATTGCCGATACAGAGTACAAAAAACGATACTTCTACCACACACACACACACACACACACACACACACACACACACACACACACACACA